CTCACGGTGAACGATTGCGTCGAGATGGCCGACATAAATGTTCGCTAAGAAAACACCGGGCGGTACACCAGTGGCGATGCCAAATGCTTGATGGCACTCGCCGCGATGCAATATATACTGGTTTTGCAACACAAGCTCAAGAACACAGATAATGTACCTGGCTTTGGCATTGTGACCATAGAAGTCAAGAACTTCATCGCTCAGCACTTTCAAAAGGTGCTCAGCATGGATAGACGGGTAGAGGTTTTTGATGTCGATCGTGGCAAGTTCAAAGTCCATGGGGACCTGTTGCGGAAGCGCTCGCAAAAACTCATCACTGCTTGAGACAACATGCGGCAGCGTCCTTTGCAATGGAGAAAGCATATCACAAAGAAAAAGGCTGGCTGGAGCAATCCAACTATGTGAAAGGTTGGAAATCGGGCGGCCAACCATAGGGCACTTGTGAAGCTTGACAGTGAGTCGAAAAGAACCTTCTCGCTTGGAAAAAAGACCATTGCAGATAAACCTGGCTTGCGAAGTGGAGATAACCCCAGAGGCTTCCATTTGACGGGTTGCCGATTCCATCGTGCAGCGTGCTTCGAAAGTAGCAGTCACATACTCAGACTCCGAGAGGCGGCGGAATCCAGTATGCAGCAGACGATCAAGTTCAGCGTTAACCCAAGATCTAGGAAGCAAAACATCGCCCAAACCTTTATCAGCATCAGCGATAACGATCTCACTTTTGTGCTGCTTCAACCATTGAATTGCCTTGCAATCGAGCCACACGTAGTTGTGTCTCAGTGGCGAATCCACGAATGAAGAAACTACATCCCGACGCAGATGGCGAAGGAATGCAGAAATTTCCGTATCGAGTGGCGGGTGCCAGACTGAAGAGGTTGCAACCGCGTGTTTCTTGCGTTTCGAATTCAAATCAGGCCTGTCAGCAAAGAATTTGGCGTGCAACTTCAATGCCATCTGATCCATACCGATAAGAACATCTTGAAGTGCGCAATGATGTTTATCCATGACAAACTTGCCGCCTTTGTTGAGGTACAGCATGACAAAGTCAGGGATAACGAATTTCGGGGGCATGCGAGAATGAACAAAATCACCAGAGATTCTGGTAGACAGTGACCCAAGTGAGGTACGAAAAGAGCGACTAATGCAATATTTGGCAAAGTTGATTGATTGCAGATCTGAATTCCAGTAGCTTTTACATCTTCTTCGCTTGCACTGATTGGGATCAATGGGAAGGGCGCTTGTCAAGAGCGCCCACTCGCAAACTTGATTTTCTTGCCGGCTCCTTTTCCTACACCACGTCCGTATCCACGCCCGCGACCTCGACCTTTCGGTTTTGCACCACCTTTGCCCGTAGACTTTCCACCATCAGAATGCCGAGATGCGAACCGTCTGCCCTTGCTTGTAACACGAGTCCTGGACGAGCTCCGGTCTTTCAAGGATCGTCTGGTTCGTGAGCTGGAGTGGGCGGTTTTGTCACGGGATCTGGCTCTGCGGGTTGAGGAACTGGATTTTCGCGATGGATGTGGTGTGGGAGATCGCCTGGCGAGACCTGTTTGTGCACGGCTTGAAGGTCGGTCAACAAATTTGATCACAAAGTGGTTGTGCAGGTCAGGAAATTTGCGAACGAGTGCTGCCAACTCACTGGTTTTGCAAAGCTCAACATGTTTTGCTGTTGTGCCGTCTTTTCTGCTGCATTGCTTAGCCACCTTGTCAAGTTCGATCATAGCAATGAGCATCTGTGGGTCCATGGCTTGGAATTTGGTTTCTGCCTCCAAAAGAGCAGCTTGCTTCTTCTGCCGGCTTGCGGCAGCTTCAGACATGCGGCTCTTNNGGCTGGAGTTTTGAGAGTACCACAAGGTAACGATGTCGTTCACGTGCTGCTTCACTTCCTTGTAGTCGGTTTTGGTTTCGAAATATGTCAGGGCACGTTTTTGGTGCTCCACCACAAACTTTTGGCACTCAAGAGCATGTTTGCGTCTCAAAGAAGACCAAGCCTTTGCTATGTCGTAGGGCACACCAACCTGAACTTCGTCGATACCAAGAACAGGGTGCGCGGATGCAATATACTCTTGAGGAAACTGCCACTGCCTTGTCGATTCTTGCTCCAACTGACGCATAATGGCATTATCGTCTTCAATCTTCTTGTACTTCTCACGCAATTCAATTTGTGTGACCAAATGCGAGACATCTTTCTTGCAAGATGCCCGCCAACTCAACATTGCATCCCGAAGAGACGGATCAAGCACATGGAAGAGTTGGTCAGGATTCTGAAAGGATTGCGAAGCACATGCGCCATTTTGCATCTGGTTTCTGAGCATAGTAGTTTGTTCTTCAACTTGACGAGCCATCAGTTGATGGAGAGCAAGTTGCTGTTGCTGATCAGGATGTGGTTGTTGTAAAGGCCTACCTGCAGCACTGCAACGACGTTCTTCCATGTCACCTCGACTATTCGATCTCGATCTCACTTCAGCAGCAGATTGAAGCTCGCGACCTCTTTGGGGCATAGTACCACTTCCGTGCCAGTGGCCATGGCGACAATCTAGATGAAAACACACGGCACTTCACTAGATAGGATTGTCAAGCCGCGGACAGCCAGCAGGCTTTTTCAGCTACAGGGGCTTCACGAGTACCGGTTTTGGCATCAAGCCTTGTTCAACCCTCCCCTTGTGGCCAAATGCCTGCATAGCAAAGGC